TCTGTTTTCTTGTCTGTTAAATAGGTATGATGTTAGTGCCAACCTCAAAAGGCTGCTCAGGGTTAACTCATTAAATTAGTTAATTAATTGGCAAAATATTTACAATAGTGCCTGGCACATAGTAAGTACTGATGAGTTTTTTTCTAAATTGTGTTATTTGCTTTTGAAAACACAAAATAGGTGCTGCTGGGGCTCCAATATGGAATATGGTTTAGGGAAAGAGCTACTAACATTTTTCCTGTGAGTCCTTTCCTTATACCCAGATGTGTGTCCAGGACCAACCTGGAGACAGACTTCAGTATTCATCCCAGCAGCCTCTCCGGGGAATACTGGGGCTTTGGGATGAATACTCTCCAGGCTCTTCCTCAGCCAGTTCTCAAAGCCACCCCATCCTCAAAGACTTGCCAGGGCATCCCACTAAATAGCTAAACCTGTCAATGGGAAATTAGCATGATTTATGTTTCACATTTGCAATCCAAGCAAATATCTTCACCCTGACCCAAGAAGTGTTGAAGGTTGCAAACCTGGGAAGATTTCATTTTACCTTGACAGCTCTACTTCTGAGAGTAGCTCCAGAGACATGGTCTCTACTTACCACACACTGCTTTGTTCCCTTCTCTCCACAAGTAGGAAGAGTAATCCTGAACATCTGGATATATTGATCTATCATTAAAGGCTCACTTTTTAGAGTTGCTTATTCTTTTTGCAGGAATTAGACTTATCTACTAGCTGCAACCCTGTCCTGCCATGGAGAGTACATGACAAATCTGCTGCTGCACAATAAATTAATACTTTGTGGCGAAAACAATGAACACCTTTATCTCTGTTTCTGTGGATCAAGAATTCAGGAGTGGCTTGGCTGGATGGTGTTGACTGAAGGTCTCTCCTGAGGTTGCAGTCAGGTGTCATGTGGGGCTGAAGTCAGCTGAAGGTTGACTAAGATTGGAGGGGCGGGCTTGATGGCTCAGCCTGTAATCCCGTACCTTGGGAGGCCGAGGTGAGTGAATTGCCTGAGCCCGCAGGTTCGAGACCAGCCTGGGCAACTTGGCGAGACCTCATCTCTACAATAAATCAAAAAATGAGCCAGGCATGGTAGCACGCACCTGTAGTTCCAGCTACTTGGAAGGCTGAGGCAGAAGGATCGCCAGAGCCCAGCAGGTCAAGGCTGCTGTGCCCGGGAGTGGCCACTGCATTCCAGTCTGGGCGACAGAGTGAGACTCCAACTCAAAAAAAAAAAAAGATTGGAGGATCCACCTTCAAGGTAGTTTGCTCCCATGGCTGCAAGTTGGTGCTGGCTGCTAGTGGGAAGCCTCAGTTCCTTCCCATGTGACTGTTTTTATAACATGCATGTGGCTTCCCCTCAAAGAGAGTAATCCAAGAGGCCATGCCTCTTCGTTTTGGAAGTTACACACCATTATTTCTTCAATACATTCTCATTAGAGACTAGTCATGATTCAGTGTGGGATGAAATACACAAAGATTTGAATGTCAGGATCTGAAGATCATTGGGAGCTGCTGTGGATGTCACCTAATATAGAGATTTTACCTATCACAGAGACAATTCATGTTATAAAATCTACAATATTTTCACTGTGGAGGTTTATGCAAAGCAATTGTTTTAAATAGATTAATTAGATGTCCAGGAACAATAGCATGAAAAGGACATATATTTGCATACTGCCCCTTCTCTAAACCTATCAAAATGAACCATGACTGAGCAAACATGGGGGTACACATAAACATACATATACACCACAAACTCTAGAGAGTATCAGTCAGTAGAACAAATTCATAAATTGGTCTTAATCAAAATTAAGGCTGGGTGGTGGCTCATGCCTATAACATCAGCACTTTGGAAGGCCGAGGCAAGAAGATTGTTTGAGCCCAGAAGTTCAAGGCCAGCCTAGGTAACACAGCAAGACCTTATCTCTACAAAAAAAATAAAAATAAAAAAATAGCCGGGCATGGTGGCTGTAGCCACAGCTACTCGGGAGGCTGAAGTGGAAAGATCACCTGAGACCAGGACATCAAGGCTGCAGTGAGCCATTATTGTGTCACTGCCCTCCAGCCTGAGCAACAGAGTGAGACACTGATTCAAAAAAAAAAAAGTTTCCTAGATATATCAGTCAAGGAACAAAGGTCCTTCACTGCTGAAGGGGAGAAGTGTGAGAAATTAGGAAAAATCAGTGATAGCATGCATCTTTTTGCAAATTTGAGAATTCATATAGAACAAACATCTAAGGAAGATGGTAAATATGGCAGATGTTTCGATATAAGGTCAATCCTTTATCAACATCAGAGGAGTCACACTAGATGGAAGCTATATTTTTAAAGAATGTGGACAAGACTTTAGATATAACAAAACTTTCACAGTACGAGAAAATCCACAAAACACATGTCTATGCCCTTCCTTGCATACATAATTTTGTGGTGCAAACATAACAGTACACAAATCATTTTCTTAGTATTGCCTTTCCACTTAACTTTTTCAGTACCTTTGCATGTTACTATACTGTTCTAAAGCAGTAATTCTGAAAAGGGTCAGAGTTGCTAGGCACTAGGCAGAAAATAGGGTTAATCCATGAGATCTTAACATCAGGTGAGAAAAAATGTTTTAGTCTGTATTCTGTTGTTATAAGACTGGGTAATTACTAAGGAAAATAAGTGTATTTATCTCACAGTTCTGGAGGCTAGGATACAAGGTACAGGGGCTGCATCTGGTGAAGGCCTTCTTGCTATGTCATGTGGAGGAGGGCATCACATGGCGAGAGGGCAAGAGCATGCATGTCAGCACAAGCCTCTCTTCCTATTATTATAAAACTACCAGTCTCATCACAGGGACCCCACCCTGATGATCTTATTTAATTGTAATTAACTCTTAAAGGCCACACCTCTTAATGCTGTTACAATGGGGATTAAGTTTCAACATGACTTTTGATAGGGATAGTCAAACAATAGCATTCTGCCCTTCTCATGTTCTTCTTACATATAAAATACAACCATTCCATCCAACAGCCCAAAAGTCTTTTAACTCCTTTCAGCATTAACTCAAATTTCCAAAGTCAAGAGTCTCATCTGTATCAGATTTGGGTGAGACTCAATGGACAATTCATCCAGAGGTTAATTCCTTCTGGCTTAATCTGTGAAATCAAAGCCAGTTATCTACTTCCAAAATACAATGGTGAAAAAAGCATGATAGACATTCCCAATCCAATAGGGGGAAAGAGACAAGAAAAAGGGGTAACTAGTCCCAAATGAGTATAAACCGAACAGGGAAAACTCCATTCAACCTCTAAAACTTCAGAATGCTCCTTTACTTCATGTGCCATATTCTGGATACACCAGGGGTTCTGGGTCTTTAATAACTTGAGCAACTCCACCGTTATGGTTTTGCTAGACTCAGTTCACACTTGAGCTCTTTCAGGTTGGAGTCTCATGACTATAGTTCTCCCAGATTGGTGCTGCACACTGGTAGCTCTATTGCTCTGGAGTCTTGGTGATAGTCTCACCCCTGCATCTCCACTAGGCATTCTGCCCTTCACATTTCTGCTCAGCACTGCCCTCATATGGGCTCTCTATAGTGGCTCCACACCTGTAACAATTCTCTTCCCTCAGGCTGTCTGACACATCATTTAAAATCTAGGTGGAGGCTGCGGTGCCTCCATAGTTCTCTACCAGCAGGATTAGCACCACATGGGCACCACCAAGGCGTGCCTCTTCCAGAGTGGCAGGTCAAGTTGTGCCTGGTTTGAGCCACAGCTGGGGCAGCAGAGCAGCACTGCACCAAAAGGCAAGAAGCAGAGACCCTAGATGGAACATGGCAGCGGGCAGGGAGGGAGCTCCGGGCCTATTCCCTGAAATCTTTCTATCCACCTAGAGCTATGGGCCTATGATGGGAGGAGCAGCCTTGAAGACCTCTGAAATGCCTTCAAACTTTTTTCTCCCACTGTGTTGATGAATAGCCTCTGGCTATTCTATTCATACTCACTAAACATGAGTCTTGGTGGAGACATTCAAACCACAGAAATCAGCATGCTTAAAATACTTCTTGGTGTTACCAAAATAGTTCATGATAAAATCAACTGAAAAGTACCATGAACCACAATCACAGGGGGAACTGGAGTAGATGTGAGAACATATCCAAGTGCTTGTACAGTAACTCAGCAGAAACAGATTCACTTCTGAGGCAGGAGCTCCAGCAAGTCATGGTCAGGTTTCTCTTCGCTTTGTCTCTGGTGCTCACCAGTGTGATGCCAACAAGTTCACTCCATAAATAAGTTTAGAGATTATTACACTTAGGCACCCACCCTAAAATGCAGACGCTCAAGTGACTTTTTGTACCTACATACTTGAGTGGGCACTGAAACTGAACAAAGATATGACTAGGAATAAAAAAGAACCCAAAATGAAAAACCACATCCCCAACCATGCACGTTTAAAGACATAATTTTACATTATTGCTATCAATGCCAACTTATCACTTCACTTTCTTTTCACATAGTAACACAGGATTCTCATAATAGTCACTATCAAGGTCATAGAAAACCCTAAGGTTCAGATCACCTTCAGTGAGTCCTGTCACTGGCCTCCTTAAATCCTGAAAGCAATCACTGGATATTTTTTCTGATTACTTCCTCCTTCAGACTGCATTTCACCTATATCCCTAATTAAAATGGCCCATCTCATCATAATACCATAGCCTCTAAAACCCAACATATTCTGCAAACTCTTCCAACTTCAGTAGCCCCAGAAGGCTGTTGCAGACTAATAGCATATACCAAAACTGGCCACAATAAAGAACAAATACTGCTATTTCCTACCCAGGGAATAAAAGAGTAATCAAACATGGTATTTAAGTATCAGAACTTAAAATGAAGTTGGGAAGACAATCATGGCTTACACAAGACAAGACCAGAAGAATATCAATAAAGACATGATTGGGAGCCCAGTGGAAACCTTGATAACTTGAGGTATGATGGGAGTTGAGAACATGAGAGAGTTCACAGGGAATGAGACAGAGGATTCAGGCTATGAGGGGATGACTTCCCAGAAGAAGTAAGATCCTGAAAAAAATGTGCTATCTGGATAGGTGAAGAGCTGGCCATCTCAGATGAGGGAAGCAGCAGAGAGAGGCAGCACTGCATGTGGAGAAGACGATGGATGCCCTGGTGGGGCTAGAACAGAACATGCGACATGGGGAAGCCACAGGTGAGAGAACTGCAAAGGGGCAGTGGGGCTTAATTGTGGGTGATCCTGTAACTTTAACAAGTTTGTTCCTGGTATGCAGCTTCTGGTGCTGAATAAAACTTGCACTCCATTTGAAGGCTTTCCCACACTCCTTACACTCATAAGGTTTCTCCCCTGTGTGAACTTGCTGATGCTGAACCAGGGTGATCTTCTGATTGAACGCTTCCCACACTCCTGGCATTCGTAAGGTTTCTCTCCAGTGTGGATTCTCTGATGCATTATGAAGTGGGAGCTACAACTGAAAGTTTTCCAACATTCATTACATTTGTAGATTTTTTCCCCAGTGTGGAACCTCTGGTGCTGAAGAAATACTGCACTGTGGTGGAAGGCCTTGCCACACTCTTTACATTCATAAGGTTTCTCCCCAGTGTGGATTCTCTGATGCTGAATCAGGACTGAATTTGAACTGAAACTTTTCCCACACTCCTTACATTCATAGGGCTTCTCCCCAGTGTGAATTTGCTCGTGGATGATGCAGTCATAGCTACACCTGAATGCCTTCCCACATTCCTTACATTTAAAGGGCTTCTCCCCAGTGTGGATTCTCTGATGCCGGATCAGTTTAGAGTTGTAGCTGAAGGTTTTCCCACAGTCTGTACAATCATAGGGCCTCTCTCCACCATGAACTTTCTGATGCTGAAGAAGGTGGGAATTCTGACTAAAGGCTTGTCCACATGCCTTACATGAGTAAGGTTTCTCCCCAGTATGGATTTTCTGATGCCGTGACAGTTTTGAGTTATATCTGAAGGTTTTCCCACATTCTTTGCATTTGTAGGGCTTCTCATCAGTGTGAATTCTGTGATACTGGTGAAGGTCTAAATGTGGGTTGTAGTAACTGCCACACTCACCACATTTATAAAACACCTGTTCTTTAGGAAGATTCTGCTTTGTAATGAGATGGGTGTTCACACACTGGCTTTTTTCCAATTTCCTTGCTATCTCCCCACTTTCAACAGTAGAGGACTTATGATCCTGGACTGTCAAATGTGTGCCATCTCCTGTCTTTGAGTTTGTTTTCTTCCCTGTGTGATGGATCTGTGACTTCTCTAACCTGTCCTTGAAGTGTGGGTTCTGGAAAACATCCAGTAGCAGCCCCTCCACTCTCAGTCTGTGGGACTCTAATTCTTTAGACAGGTTCAGCTTTGGAGTTTGTTCCTCATTCTTAGTCTTGGTTTTACCACCTAGCATGATAAAAAGAAAATATAAGAGCCAGAAGAGAAAGGGATTAAGCAGTATCAGTTTTATCAACTTGCCTTAGACACAAGTATTTTTAGAGAGAGACAAAGCCACCTGATGGTGCCCCAAAAGGGAAGTAAAAACACTGGAGGTGAGGAAGGCAAGCAAGACCATAAGGATGAAAAACAGTGTGGATGACAGAAGCTGCTGATTGAGGCAAATGGATAAAGAAAAATGGGAACAGGATGAAGTTGCAGCAAGCGGAAGCAATGAAGAAGAGCAGAGGAAGCCAAAGGTCAGAAAAGAGATCACTAAACTAGAGAGAGAAAGCTGGGTAGACAGCTCTAGCACCACACAGTATCAGGGGGCTGGGAGATACTATCTATAACAGTGAATCCAAGGCCCATCAAGGAAATGGAACCTGTCAAAATACTTTAAAAGAGACATTCTCTATTATAAGCCTGGCTGGAGTGGAGAGTAGTTTGTAACACTACTTTTTACAAAGGGTTCATAAGAAGACCACAATTTAAAAAACAAACAAAAAAAGAAAACCACAATTTCAAAACTCAAGTGCTGTCCTCTGGGAGACTGGTCTGTGAAAGGAAAAAGGAAACCTTGGTCAAAAATCCTGCCTGGACTGGAGAAGGCAACTGGGAAAAGAGGATCATGCTGTTACTGGTGGCACTACAACATAGAAACCTTTTTTGCCTTGTCAAGCATCACAGGTCTGACAAATGAAACCTCCATCTCAGTGTTTCTCAAGTCTTGTTGACCATGACTCACACTTTAGATCCTAATCTAGTACAGATAGGCTTATACACACACAACTGAAAAAAGAATCAAAAGTTTTACAAAACAATATCCGTAATTAGGGTGACAAGTTCATGATAGACTTTATATTGTTTTGGTCTATCTTACTTACATCTAGTATAGTCTAGTCTAATTTTTAAATGCCAATCATTGATGAGTTGCAACACAGAGTTTAAAAATTATGGTTCTAGATTCTTAAGAACAATGGTCTTGAATTGTGACCCCTGATCCTGCATCATCTGGGAACGTGTTAGAAATGCAAATGCTCAGGCCCACCCCAGCTTACTGAATTAGAATCTCTGAAGGTGGTACCTAGCAATCTGTGTTTTAACAAACTCCACAGGTAGTTCTGATGCACATCAGAGTTTGAAACTTACTGATCTAGAAACTAACAAAGACAGAGTGAGACTGTTCCTTTAATTGTTTAAAGTTGCATTATTCCATAAGATGGCCCCTAGCCATATGTGGTTACTTAAATGTAAATCAATTAACATGAAATAAGATTAAAAATTCAGTTCCTCAGCAGCACTACCCACCTTCAAGTGCTCATGTGGCTAATGGCTACCATATTGTACAGCACAGCTGTCTAACATCTCCAACACTATAGAAAGTTCTATTGAATAAGGTTTAAGTCTTTGGCATGTCAAACAGATAACATGCAGCTGTAGCAAAGGAAACACTGATAACTGCAGGAAAGCTATTGGGAAAGGCTCTTCATCAAAATGACCTAAAGTGTCAAAGTCAACTTAAAGACATTAAGATAGAAGTGGGGGGAATTAGGAAAAAAAAATTAGTTTAGGGAGGCCCTGAATAGCATAAAGGATTGAGAGGGTATGAGAACATGGCAACTGAGTGAGAAAGGATATACACTAAATCTCTGAATGATTCTTTACCTCAATTCAGCATCTTTCAAAGATTGAAACCATTCATTCTCAATAAATAAATAGGCTTTCTTTCAAAAGCTAAGTCAAAATCAGCGTTTAGGAATTCAGAAAAATTCCATTCGCATGTATAACTTCATACACACACACGCATGCACACAATGTTCTTATAAAAACAAGTTTTTACTATATCTTGTTTATATTACTGAGTTTACCAAGAGAAGTCCAATTTCACTACAAGAGTATGAAATATTCTAGCTTTGCAAAGAAAAATAATAGTAAATAAAATGGTTACACTGGTCTTTTTTCAGTTGGAGCTGAAGCTCTAGTAAGCAACATTTGTTTGAATAAGAGTGAATACTGTTTTCATCCCCACAACAGCCATATAACAGGAAAAAATCTTTTTCACACTAAGTCATTAAAAGAAAGGAGGAGGCAGAGCTGGAAAGGAAGACAGCAGGTTCTCCTACTTACCTGTGCACATGGCTCTCGGGGCTGCTCCCACCACAGATGCCCAGGGATCCAGGTCCCATGGTGCTTCCCCTTGCTCCAGTTGGAATATTACATCTGGTTTGGGAAATGGAAATGCTGCCAGAGGAGAAATACAAGGAATAGGAAGCTTAGGAGAATCACCACTGTCCTCCAGCAGTCTGCCTTGCCAGGTGAAAAAGAAGCAGGCAACTTACTGAGGTCAATGAGGAGTGAATTTGGGAAATCTAAAAAAGAGCTCTAAGCTTACTCTGGCCTCTATCTGAGAGAACAGAAAACTTCTAATCACTGGAATTATATACATGAGGGTCCTTAGAGACTCTCACATATAGGAGATGGTGCCTAGAGAACTAGAAGACTGGAGGAATAAAGAGGCTGCAACAGAACCTTCTTAGATCTGTCTGTGCCCAGAAGAAAGCCCCTTGTAGTAGAGTCCCTTTCTAGGAATCATGGAAAAGTCCTATAAAAAAGCAAAGTGAACCCAGATCTTTTACCATCCAATTACTCCTAAAATTGGAAATTGGGGAGTAAATCAATTAACATAATTGATTTAATCAGTACATAGAGGATGGTGGTATTAGAGATGCCAGATCTACTAAGGAGGAATCTAGGAGACCCCAAGGGCAGAAATTGAGTTTCAGAGAGAAAAAAGTACTTACGCAAGGAAGCCACATTTGCATAATTCTCCAGCATCACCTCTCTGTACAGGGCCCTCTGTGTGGGGTCCAGGGTGGCCCATTCATTCTGAGTGAAGTACACAGCCACATCCTCAAAGGTCACTGGTTCTTGAAACAACAGATTCCTGCTCAAGTCCTGCATAAGAGCAGATGAAGGGGTCTGGATTCCAGGGAAGGGATACATCTATTGAACTCCATGGCGCTGAGCCCCATGGAAGGTTTGTACTGATGGGGAGAACCACACAGCACCTTAGTTGAGGTAGCCAGTACTCCCACTTTCCGTGTGCACACCATGGAGCCCTAATATATCATCTCAAGCACACAGTCTAACATCTGCCATTCACAGCCTGGAGATCATGTCAACCCATGTCTGGATCCATAAGCCAGAGCTATTTTTCTGGCATGTTTTCTAAATGGGCCACAGCAGGTTCCTGTCTTTCATCTGCCTCTACCTATCCTGAAGCACCCATTAGGGCTCTCCACTCAGCTTCTCTCTGGTCTTCCTACTCCACATCTACTATAGTCAGAGGCATAATTTCATGGGGATAAGGTTCCCTTCATTCTGGATATTTTTCCTGCTTTCTACCATCTAACCTTATCAGAAAGCTGTTTCATCCTTGAAGGCAATGTGCAGTGTCACTTCCTCCTCAACTAATACATTTGACTCCAGGACAGAATAACAGTCTCCCATCCTTGTGCAGAGATCTGCTCCTGATCACCTAAGCTCTGTCCAACCTGCAAACACTGTCCTCTCCATCATGCTCTTTTCTCTCCCCCCCCCCCCCCCCCCCCCCCCCCCCCCCCCCCCCCCCCCCCC